CTGCTGCCGCTGCCGCCAAGCTCTCCGCCGCCCGGCCCCACCTTTAAGTTTTTTTCCTGAAATTTCCCTTAAAATGAAGGTGCGTGTTATACGCCTTGGCGTGTTATACGCCAATAAATACGGTAGGTCTTGGACAGAGCACTAGCATTCAAGAACCAACCCCCTCCTTAATTGCTTTCATTCTGTTGAATTGGGAAAAGAAGACAGTTTCTTTAACAAAAATTACTATAAGGTCTTAGATTATTTATATGAGACACTGTAATTTCTTCAAGCAAAAAGCAATGTTTTATTTTTTTACAAAAAGATTTGCTGATAAAGCAGTGTTTGGTCCTGTATAAATTATATAAACAATGAAATCTACTAGCACATTGTGACAACTACCATTTAAAATATTAAGAGTTCTAAGACCACAGAAATGAAATACTTGAACAACAGGTACGGTATATTCTCAATGAATCCTTCAAAGCAAGCAGCTGTATTTTTAGTAATATTTGTTTTTGGAAATGTTTTAATTCCATACTCTTAAACACATAATAATGCTTCCATCTGAATGAAAACCTTCAAATATTTCATTCCTATATTTAAACACTGTATTATTTTGTATAAGAAATAGATCTTATAGAAAAATAGCGGTTAAAATGTATGCACATACTGATGAGTAACAGCTCCAAAACTTTTTAAAAAACCATCCATTTTGCAAACTATTGCTTTTTTCCGTCAACTTTTTCACAATGTTTTATAGCTCATCATGTTTATAAACAAATTCTCTTGCAGATATAAAGCCATCACTGTTCTCGTCTTCTTTATTAAATATGTCTTCAACCAAAGTATTATGGTGACTTGTATTAATTGGTGCACCATGTCTTTCAAATTCCTTCTTCAAATACATTTTTACCTTTGAGACAAAGAAAAAAGTTCAAAATTCAAAATCACAGATATGTATTCAAGAGCAGATAAGCACAGACTTCTAGAGAGAAGCCACAGTAATTGAAAGACTTTATTTTAGTACACTTTGTAGCTTCACATTGATATTATCCTTTTGTTAGTTGGCCAAAAGAGTAGGATGAGCATAATATAAAAGTAGTCCATATACATCGAATATAATCCAGGACTACATATTTATTTATTTAAATTGTATGCTTCCCATCTTACCAGAAGAGACTCTGGACAAGTTATAATTAAAACATACTATAAACATTAAAACAATAAGGATCAAAAATTTAAAATTCAATTAAAATAAAACTAACTGGAATGGAAAGGGAGAGGGCAAAGTGATATTACCTATTTCATCAGCCACCTCCAAAGTGCCACAACTCCAATTGGGGGCCTCAGGACTAGTTGTCAAGGCCTTTTGGGAGGTCAAAAGGGTAGGCGCATATCCCTAGTTCTTGATTCATCTAAAGTTCTAAACTCTCTCACACATAATATGTTGAATAACTGTGCAGCAGAATTCTGAAGGCAGGAGCAATTCTTTAGTTCTAATCTAGCTCAGCTTGTAACGAAAATTTATTTATAGATAGCAAATTTGCATAGAACTTCAAGGGAAATGATAGCTTAGTTATCCTTTTCTGTAAACTGCAGTATACACTAACATATTCACCTCTTCTTTAGATAGCTTCCAATCATCATTAAGATCCATCTCTTGAAAGGAATCATGAGATCTTGGCCCATTTCTGATTTCTAAAAGGTCAATGTGGAAGATCAGTGTACTTTCAGGTGGAATTTTTCCTACCAAAGAAATATATAAAATGGAGATTATATTAAGCCTAATACTTAGAACATCACACACATTTTGTTGCCTACCATTATCAAAAGTACTGAGAGTTACATAAGGTCTAACTAATTTAGAATGCAAATCCATGCACACTCAATAATAATAATAATAATAGTAGTAGTAGTAGTAGTAGTAGTAATAGTAGTAGTAGTAGTAGTAGTAAAGTTGGAAGGAACCTTGAAGGTCATCTAGTCCAACCCCCTGCTCAGGCAGGAAACCCTATACCATTTCAGACAAATGGCTGTCCAGTCTCTTCTTAAAAACTTCCAGTGTTGGAGCATTCACCGCTTCTGGAGGCAGGTTGTTCCACTGGTTAATTGTTCTCACTGTCAGGAAGTTTCTCCTTAGTTCCAGGTTGCTTCTCTCCTTGATCAGTTTCCACCCGTTGCTTCTTGTCCTGCGAAGTCCGCGAAACCTTTTATCGAACTGAGGGAGAAGAAACACCGTCGGGGACTCTATAACCTTGTGACGATAGTACAGGGGGGAGCAGGAAGAGAAGCAATTTGATCTGTATGGGTTAAGGTCGTCGGCAAGGAATATACGAAATCGGAGGTCAGGGGATTAGTAGAAACTTGCTCTTCTCTGTACTCTTTCTAGAGTTTCAACATCTTTTTTACATTGCAATGACCAAAACTGGATGCAGTATTCCAAGTGTGGCCTTACTAAGACATTGTAAAGTGGTATTAACACTTCACAATGCAGGATGCAGGAATGGTCTTTTGTTAGATACTTTTTCCAGGAGAAGGTATTCTCCAATTGTTCCTCAAGAACAAATTCTTCTTAATAGTGATTGAAGCCGGGTAGGAAGAGTTTTACTCTGGAATATATTTATTTATTACCTACATTTGAAAAGCCGGAATTTGTAAGGTCAAAAAGGAGAGTTTATTGCTCTGACAAAACTTGTAAAGTGGTATTAATACTTCACGTGATCTTGATTCTATCCCTCTGTTAATGCAGCCTAGCACTGTGTTGGCTTTTTTGGCAGCTGCAGCACACTGCTGGCTCATATTCAAATGATTGTCCGCTAGGACTCCCAGATTCCTCTCACAGTTACTACTATTGAGCAAGGTACCCCCTATACTATACCTGTACATTTGGTTTTTCTTGCCTAAATGTAGAACCTTACTTTTTTCACCATTGAATTTTATTTTGTTAGATAGCGCCCAGTGTTCAAGTCTGTCCAGATCCTCCTGTATCCTAAGCCTGTCTTCTGGAGTGTTGGCTATTCCTGCCAGCTTGGTGTCGTCTGCAAATTTGATGAGTTCCCCATCTATCCCCTCGTCCAGATCGTTGATGAAGATGTTGAAGAGCACTGGGCCCAGAACAGAGCCCTCATTGAACCTTTCAATGTATCAGAATTACAGTTCTTATAGTTTAGCATACTTGAAGGCACCAGAATGGTGGATTAATCTCCTAATTATATTATCGTATCGTAAGTACAGAAAGATATCTAGTCTTCTATGGTCAACAAATGTACACATTTTCTGTTTGTAGCTCCACCCCATTTGGATTATATAAACTTATTTTATGTGTTGTTTCTGCAATGTCAATGTTTGTAAGATGGCCAGATTCAGAAAAATGTACAAATATACACCTAGGTTAATCTGAAGAGAAAGACTTATAATATCTTTCTTTGTCCTATAAAAGTTAAGTGTAAGAAAAGTTAAAGTGAAGACACAGAGCTGGCTTCAGTTCAAATTTATTTTCTCTTGCCTATATTACTTCATCCTATCTATATGGGAATATGAGAATGAAGCCTAAATTTAGAAGAAAGCTGCTTTGTGTAACTCTGCTAGTAACATACTATATAGCCTGTTTCTTCCTTAAAAGTTTCATCAGCGCCTTAAACTGATGCTGATAAATTATGGGGCAGAATGATTAGTAATAGCAAGGCATGCTAAGAGACCTTGTAGCAGCTAGATATGTGTCTGCGCATGTGTTGTAGTTGTTGTTTCTGTAGTGGAGAAGCTGGAGAAGAACCAGGACTGAAGGAGGAAGGGAGGATGTGGAAAGTAAAGGCCAAAGTAAAGGCCAGTAGTGGTAGAAGCACTTGAGGGTATGACGTTGGGAGAGTGGCTCCAACAGATCCTAAGAACCACATCAGAACAATCTATCCAGAAAAATACAATGCTTGGAACAGCTAAGCTACTGAGTAGCACCTACAAACTCCCAGGACCACTTAATGGACCACTTATTAAGACACTTAATATACAAAGGATGAGGTGTGTGTGGGTGGGTGTGTGATGTTATTTTATTGGAATAAGTTATATATGAACCAATGTAGTCCTGTATAAGAAAATAATTCTCTTTATTTCAATGGAAATAATCAAGTTAAAAGGATATCAAACTACTTTAAACTGGCCAAGAAGTATCTTTGAATATATAATAGCATATTTGTATGCAAAAATTAGACCATATCCCTGATCAAATATATTTCATTGAATCCATAAGTGAACAGAAATTGATGCAACTTTTATATAATCCAAAGTTAAATACAATATCTATAACTGTTAATGCATAGTTTTTATTTATATGGAATTGTTTACAGACCCAAAATAAGAAAACAGTAAGTAGCAGGTGCAAAGACTTGGAAGGTCCATTGGTCAGTACTTTATAGCACCTCCTTTGGCAGAAATAACTGCTTCCAAAAGTCTCCTGTAGCCAATTAAGAATCTTTTTGGTCTGCATTTGGATTCTCCCCCACACATACACACACCTTTTCTTATAGAATGCTTCTAGCTCAAATGTCCTTTATGTCCAAGATTTAACCAAGATTTTCAGTAATATTCAAACTTTGAGCTATGGAGACAGTGCCTAAGCATATTTCTTTCCTTTCTAAAAGCATCCCATGATTGATTTGAAGGTATATTTCAGATGTTTTCCCAAAATATTAAATGCAGACAAGTATATATTAAAAGATACAGAAAGATGCTGGGCTTTCCATGTAGTTGTATTGATTATGTAACCTGGATAAAGAGATAAATGTTGCTTGCATATATGATTTTATGAACCATAATCATATAATTATATGATTTTATGAACCTGAAATTATTACCTTTGCCTTCTTTTCCATAAGCTAGAGATGGAGGAATTGTTAATTTGCGTTTCTCTCCCACACACATCTGTGTCAAACCTTTATCCCAGCCTTGAATAACTTCCTTTATACCAAGAGTAAACCATGTTGGTTGGCCATTATTATGCTTGTGACTGAAACAAAGAAAACATTCAGTTGAAAAAAATCCTCTTTCTGGATCAGACCAGAGATTTAGTATTTTAGTATTCTGTTCTCACAGGCTAATGACAGGCTAATCAAATAGCCACCCTATTCTATTTCTTTCTAGTAATTCACATGGCAAATAGAATTATAGCATCCTATGGGTTATTTCATGGAACAATCCATTCTGAGGAATGTGAAGCCATTGCTAACTAAACTCACAGCAGTTCTCATTCTTGGCTGTGCTAGGTGTGGCTGCAGGAGTTGTAATTCAGCAATTTTGGGAGGGCCCTAACCCATTTTAAAGCATGCACATAAAAAAGACTGAGAAAGGGGACAGATTTTTAGATCTTTTCTCCTGGTTTAGCAACTGAAACTATTAGTAATAAAACAATACAAACAAAAATAAGTAGCTTATTATGTTTGCACTAATTGAAATCTAGGGTCTTCATGACAATCATTAGCTTAAATGTATCATATCAGGAATTTTAGAAATGTGCAATATTGCAATGCCCTTACATGATAAATTGGGAGGGGAGAATATCACAAAAATGCTTTTAATTAATAATTAGCATTTGTTCTATATATTAAATGAAACAATAAAAATAATAAAGCTTTATAAAATATAAAATAAATTATTTCATTGGAAATTTAACAAAGATGCCCCCCACTCATTTCTCTCATTTCTCATTTATTTTCTAATCCATAATTGTTCTTTATAACTGCTATACTTACAGCCTTCTCATTCATTTTCTGTATTCTTTTTGTACAGAAATATCCAAGGAAAGACCTTGCTGACAATTCAGAATGTCAGAATAAACATCAGACATCATTTCCCTTAGTAACACATAGTACTTATTCGTTTAATATGTTTCTTTTATCCATATGTTACATTAATGGATAAAAATACTGAATGTCACTAATACATATAGTCCAGAAACTATAAGCATACTACCAGCAGAGATGGCAGAGGCAAGCAATATATTTGACAGAAGCTGAACTCAATTAGTTAATTTAATTAACAGATGTCAAAATACAAAAAAAATGTGTCAATTTCATTTCTAGTAAAACACCAACTCTTTGAAATCTATCGTGCTCTAGTGACATAAAATTAAAAATTGATTTAGCGATAGACTGTAAGAGATAAATTTAAATATCTTGTAAAGATATTTAACATTTAATGATGTTTAAACATTTAATTCACACATAAACAATCATTTCAGAATAATGTTTTATAATGTAACTAGACATCTCGTGAGCTATTGGGTCATTGTTTCACAAAATATTTCTTACCTTAACCGAGAAACAGAATGACCAGAATGACCAAGGGCAAAAAAAAAGCAGTGGAAATGAGAGCCATGTCCAACTTCTTGCAGTTGATTGCTTTTCAGCAACTGATGATAGAATCAGCCTACCTAGCCCCCAGAGGACTAGGATGAGATTAGTCTACTTGATTCTAGGACTGGTTTACAGAACCTCTGGATGACAGCACAGAAACATGGAAGTAGTCACAAATCTGCAAATTTCTATCCCATGGGAATCATGGATAATGTATCCAAGTTACTTTGAGGTACTTGGTTCAAAAATTGTTGCCCTATGATGGACTGCTTCACCCAATTAAAAGTTACAGACAGTAGTAGTAGTACATAATCTAAACTTCTAAAGAATACACAATATACCTGGTAGTCCATAAATTCTTATGCCTCTCCCAAGAAAAAGCAACAGATAGAAAACTGATTTGTAAGCCAAATAATACTCAAGTCAAGATGACACCATTTCTAAAGCAAATTTTAAAACAAATGACCCTCACTGTGTTGTTCATATACTGTACCTCCAGGGGTCATGATCCATAAACTAAGAACACCGTATTATACTAATTTATATTTATAAAAGTATGATAGTACAAAAAGAAAGGAAGGGAAAGAGAGATCTTACTGTAGTTAACCAGAACTTTGCTGTAAGAATGCTGTACTGTACTTCTGGATTTACAAATAAAAAAAAAAGTTAAAGTGGTCTTATCCAAAGGAAAACCTCAGAATTCAGAAAAAAAGTATATGTAATAATATCAAAAGTTATGACCCAACTGAGTAAATTCACAATATCCTATAGGCCCAATATCCCTATAATAAAGCCATCAAATATTTCCAATTAAGACTACATCATACATTTTGATGTGCCATTTTTTCTGACCCAGGACTACAGTTGACTTGGTGGTATGTTAAGGGCCATATTTCAAAGAATAATAACGAGAAAAGTCAATATATCTTCTACTATAGTAAATACTGTTTCAATTCATGCATTGCACTGAACAAAAATGTGATTTGTTTGGTTAGTGTGTCTGAATTTATAGACTAAATACTCACGTGGAATGAAAGAGTGAGCCGTCTTTCTCTAAATATCCGTCATAGTGCACCAACATCAGGTCTCCAAACTTGGTCTTCCTTTTGCAAATGAAAGGTTTATGGAGAATTTCGGTTTTGACTTCTGGTTCTGGAATGAGAGCGCCAGTCACAAAAGCCACGGTCGCAAAGAGAATCCAAAAGGTACCTTCCATTCTGGTTACTTGAAGATGCGTTTTTCACAGGCTGAAAAAAAGCAACCCGCATGACCTTATATGCACCTGGCCATTAAAAAATATATATCCAGTAATGCTCAAATATTACCTCATTACTAAGGAATGATCTCAGATTGCTTTATTAAAAAACCCTCTAAAACTCTCCTTATTTTCTAGTATACTTAAATTGTATCTTCTGAAAATTCCACTTCAAAGGATTTTAAAACATCGGCCGTTGCAATAAAGGTGCAGATGGAAAAGGCTAAACACGGAGCCGAGCTTCCTCCCAACCTCTGTATCTCATCAGCTTTCACTCTCATTCCCCAAATCCGCAGACGTGGCAAACGTGGTCTTAAAACCCGCAGAAAAGCAGGCAAATCTCCTCCAAGCATTCGTATCCATTTAATAGCCACCTCTCCTCTTTCTCTCTCCTTTCTGGTTGGCTCAACGCGAGGGCTGGGTATTACGCCAGCCACTCCAATTGGGAAGCTGGCCCGTTCATCTGCAGGGGGGAAAAAAAGTGAAGGAAGCTCTCATCGCCGAGCGGCGATTGGTCTCCCAAAAATTCCAGCGAGAGAACGCCGCGCATATATTTTGGAATCCCTCAACACAATACCGCCGGTTTCGGAATGCCATCATAGACTGACGCCACGCATGGATCCAGATTCTCATTGGTTCCCAAGAACTCATCCGCTCTCTTGGTGGTCTAACCACGCCTTTTCTCCAATCATATGTAAACTTTGCATTCAGAAACGTATTTACGTAACTCTGCGGGGCGGACAAAGCCCGTAGCAGTAATTAAACCTGCATTTCTACTCTAGTAGCGTAAGGCTACCTAGTTGGCTGGTAGGGTAGGGAGGGGGGAAATAGGGCGGGGAAGGAGACAGGAAGGCGGGCCAGACTTCTGCCAGCCTCAGGATGGCCTTGGCTGTCCGTGCTTCAGCTGAAGGGCTGAGAGCTTAAAAGTTTCCCGGGGGAAGGCCAGGGACAAGGTTTCACCTGTCCCAAGCAGATCTGGATGGGGGGGACCTTGTCATTATGGAGGGGGTACTGTACAAATGGACCAACTATCTAAGCGGTGAGTATTACCGGTCCTACCTTGTCTTTCTTTGTTGACCCGCTTAAGTTGCGCCATCTCGGCAAATCGTGAACTTGAAGCTGGAAACTGGTCTGTCTAGGTAAAAGAGCGAGGTAGTGACTTTGAAAGAAAGGAAGAAAAGGAAATTGTTGTGGGTGCCCAATTTACATGCTGCTGACTGTTGGAGGTCCTAAGCTTTACAAAGGCCTGGGGGTAGGAGTCTGGCCTCTGCTGTTTTGCCTTTAAGAATCAAGGGATCCTGGCTTGGGAGGACAGTGCAGTCCTGGAAAATAACTCGCATGCTAAAGTTAAATTCAAGTCCTGAAATAGGAGCAGTTGTGGGAAACCATGCAGATGCTGCCCCTAAAGGAGAAAGAATTGGAAAAAAGAGGGACAGAGCACCTCATTTGATTTAAGCAAAAGGGATTTTATGTACCATCTAAAGTTTTTTGCCTAGTATTTATCAGCTGTAAGTGGTTGGAAGCCAGTGCTACACAGTGCTACGAGTGTAGTGAACTATGAATGAAGAACATCTACAGTTTTTTCTAACCTATTTTAAAAAAAATCAGGAGTGGTTAATAATAGTCCAAGGTAATAAAAGAGTGAATAATGTTAGTGTGAGATAATACGTTTCTTTTAAGTTATTATATATTTATTTTAAACTATTTGTATCTATTGTTATTCAACCTGTTCAGTGTTATAATGATAAATGTTTTTATTAATACTAAATGTTGTTGTGTGCCTGTTTTGCACTTAAAGAATCATACGACTGGTTAACTGAGTTTAAGTTGCAAATCTAATATAGAGGTTTTATAGTAATAAGACCCATTGGGCAGCAAAACTTTCTTTTCAATAAGTCAACATACAATACTTAAGAACACAATTATCAATGTGTCTAACAAAGATCCAAACCAATTCAGTAGTTGAAGGGATAAGGGATATGGATAAGGGATTGGTGTATCCATACAGGAATGGAAAGGTGGATTCATCCTCATTAAAATTTCAGATGATCAACAAAAACATTATTCTGTAATGTGCTAGGCAGACACAGAGTGTGGCTCACTCTTATACTTTGAATACAAAGTATTCACAAACTTTGATTCTGACAAATCACATCTGAATCATGGTTTCATATTTGATCTCTTTTCTTTTCTGTGCTTGATTTTTTATGAAGTTCATTGCAGTTCCCTAGCTATCCTTTAAAAATTAGAAACAGAACTTAAATAGAATTTATTAATATTTAGTTACGATTTCTGTAGGAGATTTCTAAAAATGTATATACTTATTCTAGAGCCTATAATCCCCAATTATTGATGAGCTATAGTTCTCATCAACTTTAGCCATCCTAGCACAGGAGATGAGAGTTGAGAGTTGTAATTTAGTAATATTTTGAGGAACAAAAATTTAGATCAATTTAAATAGCTTTAGTAGCAATTATATGATTGTAAGGTTTCTTTTTTACAAGAGAGATAAGAACAGAGGCATTTCCAAGGCAGGTTAAAAGAGCCAAATGCCAAAAACAACTTACCTAATATAAATTCCTTTTCTCCATGTGTCTTGATATTGTATGCATGGATAAAAGAGTGGCACTTACACTGCACGGGTCTTGACTGCTTTCAACATTTTTGATAAAAGTCCTGGATCTTGTGGATGCCTCTACTATGTGTCATTGTATGTTTGTGTATGTATGTATGTATATTAGAAACCCATTCATTAGAAGAAGTATAGTTGGGATTAGAAAGAAACCACTACTTTCTTTTGTTTTCAGATTATAAACTGCATTCTTATAATGTTTATTCTTACCTTTTATAGTGTCTTCTTATAAATCTGTTCAATCCTGCAACATTAGCACTTGATGGAACAATTTTTCTCATATGTTATATCTTAAGATCGTTCATAGATACTTTTAATGAAATGATTTCTTTCTCTTCTCATGTCAAGTGTGTGTGTATGTGTGTGTATTTCTAATTGATAGTGAGGATATTGAAGTAGTGTCTAGCTTCTGCATATTAGGATTATCCATCAATAATATAGGAACCAGCAGTCCAGAAATACACCACAGGCTGGCACTTGATAGAACAACCATGAAGGTCTTGGAAAAGATATTTAGATACCATGATGTGTCTATACCTACAAAGATCAGGGATGACACTTTATGGAAGTGAAATTTGGACTTTGAAGAGGAATATTAATACCTTGGACCTTAATGTCAGAGAGGACTCTTGAGAACACCATGTTCAGCTAAATGAACTAACATGGAGACTAAAGACTAACTAGAGACTAAAATGCACGATCTGAAACTTGAGCTGGCCACGAACAAGGATTGTATATCAGAGGTGGTGACCCTTTGAGAGATGTATGCAACAAAATTTCATTTTGATGTATGCCGATTGGTGTACATTCAAAGTGACAATAAAGTTGTTGTTGTTATTATTGTTGTTGTTGTTGTTGTTGTTATTATTATTATTATTATTATTAAGACTCTAGAAAGTTGAGACTCTAGAAAGAGTACAGAGAAGAGCAACAAAGATGATTGTAGGGGACTGGAGGGTAAAGCATATAAGGAACGGTTGCTGGAATTGGGTATGTCTAGTTTAATGAAGAGAAGGACGAGGGGGGACATGATAGCAGTGTTCCAATATCTCAGGGGCTGCCATAAAGAAGAAGGAGTCAAGCTATTTTCCAAAGTGCCTGAAGGCAGGACAAGAAGCAATGGGTGGAAACTAATCAAGGAGAGAAGCAACCTAGAACTAAGGAGAAACTTCCTTACAGTGAGAACAATTAACCAATGGAACAACCTGCCTCCAGAAGCGGTGAATGCTCCAACACTGGAAGTTGTTAAGAAGAGACTGGACAGCCATTTGTCCGAAATGGTATAGGGTTTCCTGCCTGAGCAGGGGGTTGGACTAGATGACCTTCAAGGTTCCTTCCAACTTTACTATTATTGTTGTTGTTGTTGTTGTTGTTGTTGTTGTTATTATTATTATTATTATTATTATTATTATTATTATTATTATTATTATTATTATTATTAAACAAATGGATCATAAATCAATTTAGAATTCTCATTCATAGCACATAAGGTTTTTACATAATATATTCAAATTGAATGATTTGAGCTTGGTCATTTGTGAAAATGGAAAAGATGGAAAGAAAGAGAAGAATGGGACAATAAGCAGCAAGGTGGAAAGACTCAATTACAGTGGCAATGAGCACTCCATTGGAAGACCTGAAAGACCAAGCTAGGGACAGATCGTAATGGAGAAAATGTCCTTCATATGGAATAAGTCTTAATTAAATCTTAATTAAAATCCATTTGCCTTGGAAAAATATAGAAAAGTATTCTCCAAAAGTATACCTTTTAGAATTTTCAAACAAAAGTAACAAAATAATTCAGGGGGCATTTTAAAAAAGAATAAACCATTCTTTACCATTAAACATTTATATTTTATATAAAAATAATATTAAAAATACAATATTTTATATTAAAATTTAATGCTTTAAAAAGTCACTGTTAAGTTTTGAATACTCTCTTTGTATGTTTGCATTTATAAATTATGCTTTCTGTTACATTAACATTCACAACACTTAAACTTGTGATTTTGTTTTATTCAAGACCCCATAGCTGAAATATAAAGAAATGCTCCATTTCTTCTTCCTTCTGTCTATATGCCATGATCCAAGATATAATAGCATCATAGAATGATCACCCAGATGGTCTCACACATATTGGAGTTAAACATGCCACCTAAACTATAAATGCATTGCATGTAGAAAGAACAGTTCTTGTGCTGGAATTAGACAAAACAGCATGATTTGTGATTCTAATTAGCATATGATCATAACAACATTTATGATAATCAACAACCCAGTGATTAATTAAAAGCTTATATCTACTGAACTGTATGATTATTTACATGATAATTTCTGTTCTCTTGAGATCTAAAGCTGCTTTTTTGCATACAGGTTAAATAGTTGCCTTAATACAAAGGAAAAAAAATACAATATTGGTTAATTATTTCTAGTTTGGATCTAGTATTGTCTCATTTTGTTTTATAATTATTTTTTATGATTTCTCTTTTTCTCTATGACTCTCACATTCGTAACATTCCCCACTAAACTTGTCTTGAGTAACTGAATTCTTTCCCTTCCCACTCAGCCCTCCATCAGAAGTTCATGATATCTATGTACCTTCTACTGAATAATATGTTTATGTTTTTAGTATTAGATGGAACATCGAATCATTAATCTGGGAAAATGGGGTGGGGTGGGGGAATGCTTAATGCTGCTTTAATGGATGTGTATTGGTACACTGTTGCAAGCAAGATTAAGTTAGATTGCTATCCATACCCTAGTTTTACTTAACCCAAAGCTATCTAGGTGAGCAGGACTTCAGTTCCTAGACTAACTGTTCAGTATTAGTCAGACCAGTACTGACTAATACTGATTAATTTGAGAGACAGCTTCACTAAAACCAGTGCAAACAGATTTTTTGAACAGATATATACAAGGTATCTGTTTCTCACAGATGATTCCTTTATAATAGCTTTGCCACATCGGATGGTATGCAAATCCATATGTGGGATGGACTTGGCAGGAGTTGTTATGATTTTTTTTGAGATGTGTTTATCTGTGGGTGTTGTAGAGTGTATCATAATTAATATAAAAGCAAATCTGGTGTGGAATGTTAATAAAAGTAAAGTTCCCTTCAGTAGTTAAATGAACAAATTCCCCTTTCACATTAATCTTTTCCCATCTACAACCATTTTATTTAATTTTATATTTGAAATAAAAATTAATGACTGCTAAGGAAGGGACTGGTTGTTTAACAAAAACCTTGAAAATTTGCAACCTTCCTGAGGCTACAGATTGAACACCCAAACTGTAAGAGAATAATAGCATTATTATTCTCTTAATTGCTTTGCAGTCTCTTGAGCAAAATGGTCTTTTGGAACCAACTGCTTCTAAATCTGTGTTTTTTAATCTTGTCAACTTTAAGATGTGAGGACTTCAACTCCCAGAATTCCTCAGTCAGCTTCCTTAATTAAAGTTAGCTCCTGATTTGATGTGATGATGTGATCTGTATATGTTACCTTTCTTATACAGTGTATAGTATTTGCTAGGGCAAATTCATTAACCATGGAACCAGTTTAGGCTTATTCTTTGACTTGCAATAAAATATTCATTTTTTCCAGTTGTAATTTTAAAAAAAACTGCTTTATTTTTTTCCAGGCTGGCAACCTCGGTGGTTCCTTCTTGCAGGTGGGGTGTTATCCTATTATGACTCAAGGGAAGATGCTTGGAAAGGCTGTAAAGGGAGCATTCAGATGGCAGTTTGTGAAATTCAAGGTAGAGAAACAAGATCCACAAAGTATATCTTCTTGCTTATTAGATTCAGTGACTTTGTCTAGAAACTCATTTGTAGCTTCACAAGCTATGTATAGGAATCTGAGTAAGTGCCATAGACCCATCCTTTTCCAAATATGTTCCTGTGTTTTTTTTCCTCCGCTTTGGCATGAAAAATCATCTTATCTTGCTTTATTTCCTGTTAGATGTGAAAAAGAAGACCTCTGCATTAATATCAGTTAATCAACAGGGACAATAATTTATTAGCTTAGTTTTTAAAATGACATGAAACCCAGAATTAATTTCAATGAAGATATGAAATTAAAAGAAAACTGTAATATCAGGTAAACTAGAATTTTTGTGACAAGAAAGTGGAAAACATGGAAATCCTTAATATGATATATATCCATATTTTGCTTTATTAATCCAAAATACGTTATACAGATCTTAAAATGGCATGCAATACCTCCTCATTTACTCATTCCTAGTGCACTGTGATTCTGCCTATGGATCTATGATTCTAATTTTGTTCTGTTGTGTCCTATCCATAAATTTGGCTGTAGAAAAGAACTATGATTAGTAATTCCAGGAGTTTTCATTTGGTTTATTTAGAAAAAGGAAGAAAAAGGCTGCATATAACCAGACAGGTTGTGTCTGAATCAGGTTAGTCAATCTATATGTGACTGAAGAAATCTTGACTGAGAGTATCATGTCCCACCTAACTCTGTTGATATTAGTTCATTCTATAGATAATACACGCATGGATTTGATGATTCCTGGAGAACAGTGCTTTTATCTAAAAGCTAAAGATACAGGTGAAAGACAAAAATGGTTGGTTGCCCTAGGAACTGCCAAAGCTTGTTTGACAGATATTCGGACATTAAAAGAAAAAGGCAAGCAATTTTCATATGGAGCCTAATTTAATACAGTATTTCTCAGCTTCCCCCAAAGTAACATTTTCTATTTATGTACATTTCCAGTCTTTGAATTACTTGTTGCACAAAAGCTTTATTAAACAGGCTTTGTTTTATTTCTTTCAAAATCATCTCTGTGATTTTCTATCCTTGGAAATCTTTATGCTGAATAGAGATTTAAGTATGAATGTCTCCTTAGTACCTGACAATCTAACAACTACACAGCAATGAATTCCTTCTTTTATAAATCATATTAACTAATTAAAAGCATTATAGTAATGTATAATGTAAGAAAAATGTGTTTTAATAAAAATTGCATTTACTCAAATATTACTTCTAATTTCCGCCAAGTGAAAAGTTATAACCTATCAAAATCTATCTTTAAAACAAGATCTAAAAAAGATCTAGTTTTGTTATATAAGAATATATTATATTCTTATATAAAGACAACTCTTTTTAATTTGAAACTTTGCAAATTATTTTAGCATCAAAAATTAATGCACTGTATTAGTTAATATCAAATTTGCTTTCATAGTTTTCTCTTATACAGCCTTCCAGAATTTAAAGAATAATTAAATGGTCACTTTTCTAAATAGAATATTCTTTGGAAAAATGTTTATTTGTTGAGAAGCCATTAGAGATGCCTTTGATTAAATAAAATGTTTATAACTGTGACTGATTTTTCTAATTTAATTTAGAATTTACAGAAAACACTGAAATGTTGAAAACAAAAATGGTAGAACTTAGATTATATTGTGACCTCCTGGTTCAGCAAGTGGAAAAAATTAAAGCAACTACTACAACTTCACATGTTCAGGTAATATTTTCCAAAAAAGAATTCCAGTTGTCAGATGTATTAGAGTTGAGATTTTTTTAAAGGACTTCAGTGACAATATCCTATAGAGAGAGTTTGCAAAAAGAAATGTTTTATTCAGATTATGTCATTGTAATCTTGTTCTATTATAAGGCTTTTCTTTTGTTCTTAAAAAATATTTTATGGAAATTTCATTGTGGGTTCCATACAGCAACCAATATTTGGCTTTGAAATAGAATTCGTGTCTTCCGAAAGCAGGTCTGGCCTGGCTTTTTTGATGATCTGAGTCACAGTGTTCAGATCACCGTGAACTGCGTCTGCAGGTGAATTAGTCGATTTTCACATATACATAATATGGAAGTGGCTGTATTCTATGCAATACCAATTTGGAAGGTGCTTGATACGTATCTCTTAAATACACCAAAAGCCTTCTCCTTTTGTTAGGTTGCAAAGAACTAACCAGGACAATACGAAATCACCTCTCATGTTTGATTAGAAATAATACTACAGAGAAAATACTTTTGGGAGAGAGAGAAGCTGTGTATATTCCTCTTATTCATGTATATTCTTCTAATTCAAGCAATAGATTGTTACATATAGAATGAATTTTGATATGAGGGGGTTGCCCTGCCCTATCACTCACTTTTAAATGGAAAGGCAAATAGACAAGAGACATCCTGACAATTCAGACTGGCGGCACTTTTCAAGATGCAGAAGCTTCCGAGTTTTCCAGGAAGTCTCAGTCCTACCTGGATAATAAGGTCTTGGTAAAAACAAAAACAAAAAAACAAACATTGTGTGTCCTAGCAGTCTGCTGTACAGTCCGAATCATTCTTCTTGCTTTTAATGAACCTTCAATGCCAAGCTCAGTATCTGACAAACAGGAGAGTTGGGGTCCTTTTGGTGGAGGCATGAAAAATGTTTAAGGTCTTCATCTTTGTACATCCCCCATATATGTCAACAAAAGAACTTCTTTGCTGTCACATCCCAGTATGGAATATACTCCCTAAGAAAATATGTTCACCGTTAAGTTTTGGCTGGAAGAGAAAATACTTTTTTTTTCCCTAGGCATTTTTAAAATTAAAATCAATAATAGATTTTATTATTGCTCTATTTTGAAATTTCATGTATTCCACATTAGCTACACTTATTTCAGTTGCATAGTTATTTCTAGACAGCATCTATATTCCAAACTTTTAGGAAGAGAAGAGACTAAAAAAAATCTACTCTAGCTTTTAAAAAATTGCAGCTTCTATCGCTGTACCTCTATTTAAGTACAAACTACCCTGGAATTTACCAATAAAGATAGTTAAGTAATTTGCTATATAAATAAATATTTAATGCAGATATGTTATCTCAGTTGGAAAAAGTGAATTCTCATATTGAAGATTTGCATTTGGGATAATGTTGATGGCAGGTTGGAAAGCAAAAACACTGGGTAATGCTTGAAAATTTCCAATTTTGCAGCATGGAATTAATATGGGAGTACTGTTGAACTCCAGCTGTGCCACATTCTTGAAGACTCTTGAAGAATGTATGCAGATTGCAAATGCTTCCTTTTCTTCTGAATTGCTGCAACATACTCCAGGAGAAACTTCATATTCAGTTATTCGCAAATTAAACAAGGTAAGTTTATACAATCTCAGATGCTACAAATTAGTTTATAAATTGGCAACTTGTGTTTGCATATGTTTCCCAATACGGTTTGCTCTTTTTGACCACACCTGGAATACTGCAGCCAATTTTGTTCACCATATCACAAAAAAGATGTTGAGAATTTATAAAAAAATCAGAGAAGAACAATTAAGATGATCAAAGGCCTGGAGACTAAAACATACAAAGAACGGCTGCAGACTTGGGTTTGGCTACTCTAAAGAAAATAAGAAACAGGGATGACAGGATAGCAGTATTCCAGTATTTGAGGGGCTGCCACAAAGACGAGGGGTCACGTTATTCTCCAAAGCACCAGAGGGCAGGACAAGGAACAATGGTTGGAAACTGAACAAAGAGAGAAGCAAACTAGAATTAAGGAGAAACTTCCTGACAGTGAGGACAATTAACCAATGGAACAGCTTGCCTTCAGAAATTGTGGGTGCTCCATCACTGGAGGTCTTTAAGAAGAGACTAGACATTAACTTGTCTGAAGTGATATAGGTTCTCCTGCTTGAGCAGAGGGCTGGACTAGAAGACCTCCCTTCCAGCTCTATTCTATTACCATCTCACTGAAACCTCGGAAGGAGAAGTTCAGCAAGAGTCATGTTTTGTGACTCTTGAAAGCATCCACAAATTAATGACATTGCTCAGCATAAACTACTGAACAGTAAAGGCACCACGTTTTGGCAATCTGCAATGAGAATCAAAGCAAAATGCTGGGCAAGTCGTCAGATAGACCTAAAACAAATAAAAGAGATTCCTTCCCAAACAAGTTAAACAACTCCCTCCAAATTTTAGCATTATCTACTAATATGTCATGAAACATTAACTTTCTGTCAAAGAAAATCATTGTAGCGAACAAGCACTATAGGTCTCAGTTGCTAAAAGGGTGACTTTCTATTATAACAACCATTCTTTAGATATTCACAGAATGAGCAGTTCCAAATGCATACATGATTGAACAGGCTGCTTTTGGGCTTTTGGTGTGCATACTCTGGAAAAGAACAAAACAGGCTTATGAACTGATTTTTGTTTTGTCAAGAAAGCCTTATTATGTCTACTTTTTTGTAGAAAATAATATTAAGCAACAAATTTTAAATATGAGGGAGAAATTTATTAACAGGCTAAGTATTTTTAACAGATGTTATAAATATGGTTTGTTCATAAAGTTTTTTAAGATCAACATTTCAGTGTCACGGTTAAAAAAACAATTATCAAGCAGCTTTGTCAAATACTGCTTTGGGTGTGATCTGCAATATTTCAGAAGTTTTGAATTTCGCTCATTGTTGTTCATGGATTGTACACAGCTAGTCCTCGTCTTACAACAGTTCATTTAGTGACCGTTTGAAGTTACCATGGCACTTAAAAAGTGACTTATAACCATTTTTCACACTCAGACCATTGCAGCATCCCCATCATCATATGATTTACATTCGGATGTTTGACAACTGGTTCATATTTATGACGGTTGCAGTGTCCCGGGGTCACGTGATCCCCTTTTATGGCCTTCAGGCAAGCAAAATCAAAGGAGGAAACCAGATTCACTTAACAACCGTGTTACTAATTTAACAACTGTAGTGATTCACTTAACAAATGTGGCAAGGAAGGTGGTAAAATTGGGCAAACCTCGCTTAACAAATTTCTCACTTAGCAACATAAATTTTGGGCTCAATTGTGGTTGTAAGTCGAGGACTACCTGTAACTGGGATGAAATGTGCAATACAGGATTTTTTTCCTTCTGCAATATATCATGTGATTTTTGCTAGTTTATGCCTTTGCCAATATGGTAGTCTGCCTGTACTAGGATACGATGACTTCCACCTGCCCAACCGACATGACAAAAGTTGGCTGGGAAAAGGTGATAGCAGACTTTAGAGTCAGTAGCCAGATCGGGATCTCAAATACAGTGAACATTTTTTTCATAGATCTCTCAGCCTTTAAAGCCGTATGCAGATAAATTAATTATATTTAGAAAATCAATGTCACATCATTGTCAGATTTTAAAAATATAAGCCAAACATATTTCAAACTAGAAAATAAAATAATTGGATAAAAATGACACAAATAGACTTATATGTGCCTCTCAATAAATATTTTATATTGTAAGATCAACCTAGACTGTTACATGTTGATATTCCAGACTTAATACTTTACATTAAGAGATTCCCTTCTCTTTTCTTCTTTACTTGTCACAGCTATTTATGCGTAGTGTGGCATTAACATGAATTTTAGGTTAGCTTAGTTATTTCCTTTTTACTCATTAGGCTAAACTAATTGGAGTACTGTAGCATTCATATATAATGTTTTAATTTTTTCCATATTTTGATGAACTTAAGGTAAAGTACTGAATCCAGAACAACGTTGCCTATGCTTGAGCTCATAGCCAATCTTTTTTTTTTCCTTGCAGCTGAAACTTCCTGCCATACTTAGCCGCGGTGTAACAGAAAGGTACAACTTATTTTTTCTTTGTTTAGTTGAAACGTTTCTCAATGTCTAATCTTTCTGTAATAACAGGGACAAGCTATTGCAAAGAATGATGCTTTAATGAGGTGATTTTACTAAAAGTTCTCAAGGTGTCAAAACAACATCTGGAAAGCCACAAGTTCCTTCCAACTTTCTTTTTTTAATGACCAGAGGTCTCTCTTACTTTTGAACTCTGTCCATATAAAAAAAAATTGAGGTGAGGACATTATGCATGCCAAGCATTAATCTGGCTTTCCTTCCCCCCCCCCTTTCTTTCTTCCCAGGAAGATGGAACTAAAGAAATGTGAAAATGGGTCTATTTATAAAAACACTACCCTTCCTGAAAAAACTTTTATTGAAAAATCATCTCCTGTACCCCTAAAGAGAAGCGAAACGAAAGGTAAGAAAAATATTGGGGTCTGCAAGATCTTCTCCAGGGAAGGGCCCTTATTTGTTCTCTGAAGAATCTATGGAGAAATTATTTCATATGCAGCCATAACAGAATTCTGAGTTGATACAGAATACGCATGTATGAGCTCAACCTTGAAGAGGGCCAATTTGAACACAATATCATGCACCACTTTGCAATGTGCTTTTCACTCTGTGGCTGTCCTTTGTGCCAGGTTATGAAAGACTGATAAAGTCACATCTGAAGGGGGGAAAAAGAGGGATGAAAGACAGAAGAATAAAGACATAGAAAGAGAGATGAGTGAATGGATATGTATTTGTGAAGAGATGTGACCTCCCTCTCTATAATACCCAAACTTTTGAATAGAGAGTTGTGAGGAGTTTGTCATTGTGCTGTTATGATGTTAAGGGATAATGTTCAAGACAGAGAGGCACTGGAGAATCGAATTAGAGTAATAAGGATATAGAGTCTTCTGAAATTTGATTTGTTATTTATTTTCCTATTGCTTGAAAAAATATTTATGGATTTGCTAACTAAATAAATGATAATGCATCTCCAGCTTTGTTACCCAGATACATCATATCTAAATCCATTCTGGTCTTTTTGATATTAACCAGAAGTCATATTCTCCACAACTACCCTCCTTCACACTATTTAAAGATTTTTGTTTCTTTAAATCTAAGGTAGCCCCAGTAAAGATGGAGAAAACAAGCTGCTGCCACAAAGGAACATTCAAGACAACAAATCTTTAGAGCCTTTAGAAGAATCTGTAAACATATCAGATTTTCCTACTTTCTTCAGTGCTATGAAGTATAGGTAATGTGCCACCTGGATGGAGCATGCCCCAAAAATCTTAAGTAATGGAATTCAGTGCAGAGCAGCATAAATCTCCACAGAATTTGCCAACTACATGCTTGCCTAATATGATTTATGATAGCAGAAAAACTAGTAAACTTTTATAAATATTATAAACTACAGGTAGTCCTTGAATCTTAACCAGTCATTTTATGATCGTTCAGAGTTACAATAGAAATAAAACAGCCCATAAAGCATCCTCAATTATCACAAATGGTTACACCACCACCCCTCCTGCGGTCATGTAACTGCATATTGGGCAGGGCAGCTTTATGACCAATTGTGGCATTCCAAAGTCATAAGACCATAATTTATATTTTTGGGTTTTGTTTGTTTTTGTTTTTTGTTTTGGCAGAAAATGCTGGTTCATTTAATGTTCACACCATTTGCTTAATTCTGGCTTGAAAAAGACCATAAAATTACTTCTGGTCACATAGATGCCTTGATCTGCGGCCATAACAGAACTGTAACCAATCATGATTACATTTGTAAATCAAAGACTACCTGCAGAAGGTTTTGAAATAGGATTCAGGGTGGAATTATTTTTATTGCTATCGCGGGGTTCATTTGGCGACTATTCATGTTCTGTTTGCATTCTTTTCCAAAGATTTAGTGATATCAAGCTTTTTGAAGATGGAGGAATACCAACAGAAGAATTTCTGAATTCCTGTTATGAAATAGTTCCAGTCTTGGGTAAGCATGATTGCTGGTTTTCTCCATAACATTTATTTTATATGAATATCTCTGTTTGGCTGCTTTGGTTGTTCTATGCTGGGTCATAGAATAGAGTCTACAATTTATAAACAGGTGGTCCTTAGTTATCCTCAGTATTTGCTTGTTGCCTTAGGCTTTTCCAGAATAATTCAGTAAAGTAAATACATCTTTCTTTTTTATGAGAGATAGGAAGATAGAGAATGATTTGAGAAGTTGTTATGGGTTATTGGTGGCAATAACCCATAATTAACCAATAATAACCCATAGTTGTTAAGGGTTATTGGTGGCAAGAAGACATCCTGAGAATAATGAATTTGGTTACAGTTGGTTTTGGCAGATACAGCAGATCATTTTCCTTTTTTAAGATACTAACTTTATTAAAAGTTTTGATTCCAATAATATTTTCGCTGCAGAATTTTTTTCCTGGAGGGTGTCTTGGCATATGTTTTCATTTAATTTTAATTAATTCATTTTTATTCTACATTTTTTAAAAAATAATTCAAGACAGCAAACATACCTAATATTCCTTCTTTCTCCTAACTTTCCCACAACAACCCTTCCAGGTGATCTGGGCTAAGAGAGAGAACTGGTCCAAAGTCACCAAGCTGGTTTTCATGCCAAAACGGGACTAGAGCTCAGAACCTGTTATTTTCTAGCCTGGTGCCTTAACCACTAAATCAAATTGGCTTGCAGTGTATACATTCAGACATTCAGTATGTCTGAAATAAGCCTTAAAAATGTTGAAGGTTACATATAGGGTAAAGTAAGGACCTACTTGTGTGACCTTCATTAGAGAAAGCTTTTTATTTGTTTCCTTGGTACCAAGCAATAATCAGTGAAACTCTAAATAGACTCATAGACCACTTTATAAATGTTTCATTATTTATTTTTCTTCTCGCTCTTCCTTTATTTCCATGGAACTCCATTTATTTCCATAGTGGTTTCTTTGGATGCTGCCTTCTATCTAGGCATGAAACATATCAAGATCCATAGCACCATGATCTTGATTTGTCTGAAAGATTTGATTTCAAGAAATTGTTTATTTATTTTTATTCATTAAATTTATATGCCACACATCTCCCTACTTAAAGTAATATTAGTTCAGAGTGTAATTGAGAAACTGCTAAATATTTAGCTCATTTTGACCAGGTTCAATTTCTTATGCTTCTCCACTGCATCCCCACCACGTTAGCTCGTGTTTATAGGTAGTCCCCAGTTTAGAACCTTAATGGAGCCTGGGATTTCTATCATGGATTGTAAGTTGAAGGACCCAAGTGACTGGGCCTGATTTATGACTTTTTTGTGGCAATTATTAAGTGAACATCCTAGTTGTTAAGTGAATCTAGTGATAATTAAGTAAATCAACATTAGGAAATGACCTGGAAAGGCCAGAAATAGGCAGAAGCCATTATAAATTACAGTCACATGACCTCAAAACACTGTGTCCAGTCAAGAAGGTGAGCTGGTTGTCAAGCGCATGAAATGAGGTCATGTGACTGTGGTGTCAAAGGATGCAATCATTGGAACTACAGAATCAAGTCATGAAGTTTTGGAGGGATCCGTCCTAACTTTGAACAGTTTGTAAGTGATCAGTCATCAAGTAAGAACTATTTGCATAGGGACAAATCTTATAAAAAAATTGTTCCATCAGGCTTGAGCTGACTTCCCAAAATGGCTCTAAATGTGTGTAGTGGCCATGGAATTTCTAAAGCCATTTTGCTCTAGGAAGTCTGCAAAGCCTGAAAAGGCTAACTATTATTATTATGAAGAAGTTTCCCCTCACCTGCCAGAGGGAAAGGCTAGTGAGATGCTTTGGATATTTATCACGAAAGACTTAAAAATATCTTGTAAAGACCTTTGCTAAACAGTAAATGTGACTGATGGCTTTTAAACTGTCTTTTTTAGGATTTGAGATAGATTTTTGTTTTTATCATTACAGGTGGTCCTCACTTAATGGCAACTTATTCAATAACTATTTAAACTTATGAAGGCAGTGAGCGAATGGTACTTACAACCATTTTTCACACTTATAGTGGTTGCAGGATCTCCACAGATACATGATCATGATCTGGACCTTTGGTGCCCAGTTTGCAATTATGACAACTTTCCATCCCACAGTCACCATTTGCGATCTTCTTTGCCAGTTTCTGACAAGCAGAGTCAGTGGGGAAGCCAGCAGAAAGTCACAAATGGTGATCACACATGACAGCATACTTAACAGCAACCAGTACTAGAATACATCGCTAAGGATATGATCATGTGATGCTGCATTTTATGATTTAAATTCTTGTTCCAATTCTTGTCATTAAGTGAGGGCTAGCTGTACTTTTCTCAAAAATTATGCCCGAACCTGGGATCAGTGCTTTGTATCCAACATAGATGCTTTGCAAATAGTTTGCAGCTTTGGCATCATTTGGAGTGGAAGGAGGTTTTTTTATTATTAATAATAATAATTTTGTCCTGTTCTTAAAAAGAATGAGAGCAGTGAATTAAGAACAATGATGTCATGTAGACTTTTGGAAAGAAGAAGCATGCCAGATTTATGTTATCAGAAAATTGAGATATATTCCACAATGTCTCTCTGTTTGGGGAGACAGTTCTTTTTTTCTTTTTATAATCCTGTAATCCCTTTTATCGGGGTGGAGTTGGGGTGATTGAATGGAGCCAAGTGTAAACTGGATGCCCTTAATGATGCCTACACAGAGTTTGCAGTAGACATTTTCTCTATATGCCCTGATAGAGAAACATCTGCCTAGGACTGGACTCTCAACCTTCCGAGTGGGAGGCAAAAACATATAAGGAACGGCTGCTGGAATTGGGTATGTCTAGTTTAACGAAGAGAAGGACGAGGGGGGACATGATAGCAGTGTTCCAATATCTCAGGGGCTGCCACAAAGAAGAGGGAGTCAAGCTATTCTCCAAGGCGCCTGAAGGCAGGACAAGAAGCAACGGATGGAAACTAATCAAGGAGAGAAGCAACCTAGAACNAGAAGAAACTGGACAGCCATTTGTCCAAAATGGTATAGGGTTTCCTGCCTGAGCAGGGGGTTGGACTAGATGACCTCCAAGGTCCCTTCCAACTTTACCATTATTATTATTATTATTATTATTATTATTATTATTATTATTATTATTATTATTATTATTATTATTATTATTATTATTATTATTATTATTATTATTATTATTATTATCTTCACCTCTAGGCCACCCGGCCACTCATGGGGAGACAATATCTGACAACAAAAATAATTCTTCCTCCACTGTTCCCGTAGAGTAAGAGGGAGAAGAGAAATTCTGATACACAGGCAGAATTCCCCTTGTGTAATATCAGATGTAGGCCAAGGATGGTATCCTTCCTGCTCTTTTGTGCTAAATCAGAATTTCGTCGGTGGCAGTTAAAGAGGGCATTGAGGGAAACAAACTTTTGAAAAAGACAATGTTTTCTTTTTTTTCTAGACAAACTTGGACCCACAGTCTTTGCCCCTGTTAAAATGGATTTTGAAGGAAATATAAAGGTAATAGATTCAGTTTAACATTCAGTGGCCATTAATATAACTTTCTTAGCATTGTAGAACTGAAAGGAACCATTTAGATCAGGGGTAGTCAACCTTGGCTCTTTTATGACTCGTGGACTTCAACTCCCAGAATTCCTGAGCTTAGCTGGCTCAGGAATTCTGGGAGTTGAAGTCCACGAGTCATAAAAGAGCCAAGGTTGACTACCCCTGATTTAGATGATCATGTACTCGAGCTGAAAATAAAATAAATCTGGCCAAGATATGTCAATATATCTAAGATCTTACCATCTCCCAGGTACTAAGTTCAGGGATCAGACTGCTCTTAGAATTAGGCAGGTTTTTGTAATTTTCACTGGCATCTGCCTTGCTGTAACTTCAGCTTATTCTCCCATGTTTTACTCCCCCCCCCCTTCCATTCAATCATGTCTGATTCTTGAAGACTGCCTGGACTGCAACTTTCTTTCAGAGTTTTTTACAAGTGCTTTACCATTGCCTCCTTCCTACGGCTCAGATAAAATGACTAGTCCTTCATGCCCAAGGCAGGACTACAATTCTCAGTCTCCCAGTTTCTAGCCTGATGTCTTAGCCATTATACCAAACTGAGTTTCATGTTTTAAATGCCTAGACATATAAAATAAGCTATACTTTATTTTATGTAGTTGATGATGTACCTTCATGTACTTCAAGAGAGCTACATTAAAGAGAGCTATTGTATCTCCGCACAGGGCCTTTCTGGGCTCATGTCTTTGGCACTCTTGTTCTGTCCCCCGTCCGACTCACACCCCCCAACCAGTCAGCCGAGGGCTAAAAGACTGCTCAGCACTGCCAAATACAGATAAACACTTGGCAGCAACTCCGTGGCTGCCTGCCAAGACCTTTACTGATAACACAATACAAACACAAGACAAGTCCAGGATAATTGCCGGAGTGCTGCAACATAAGATTCAGCAAAATTNTCAAACGGCACACCCCTTGCTTATATAGCCTGTGGGGTGTGGCCCAGTGACTCAGCTGAAATCTCTGGCACGGCGTTTTAGCTGCTGCGCACGCTTGTCCCTCCGACGCTGGCGTGGATCCAGCCAAGACGTATCCTCCTCAGAGTCCGATACACCTGGCTCCTGGCCAATCCCAGAAGCACCTGGCTCCTGGCCAATCTCTTCTCCGTCGGAAGGCACCGAAGGCCGCACCAGAGGGGAAGGTCCTGGAGAGGGAGGCCTGGCCATCTCCTCTCCTTCATGTTCAGAGCCTTCCTCCTCCGATGAGAGGGACCCACAGGACGGAGCCACAACAACTCTATTGCAAAGCAGCTTTCTCACACTGTCACTGCTTGTTTTAGCAGGCCAGTGGGAGAACCCAAATCAGGGGGCAGCGAATGGCCTGGTCCCATCCCAGTTCTTTTCCATGCACCACTAACTTTTTGTGGCAACAAAAGTTTTTTTTTTTTTTAAAGGAAGCCAGATGCTATGGGATAGGGGAGGAGTGATGATACCAGCACCTTAGTTTCTAAAAAGCAGTGGAAATCTTGATAAAAATGGAGTTCTTGACAGTGAAAAGCCATCTTGCCCTGCAGTTCCAGAGGAAATTGCTGAATGGAAAACTGGATACTTAACTCTGAAAGTTCTCAAAGTCCAAAAATGGAGACTTGCGAGGACAATTGTTACCTGCAGAAAGCTCTTCTATTATCTTTCCTCTAGGTTGAAATATATTCTGTTATCCGTTTCTCCCTTTTTAGGACTTAATTTCTAATCTTCTCATTGTTACTTAGCTTTTTTCAAAGAGAACTAGATTCAGAAATAGCCCAAGGCTTTTCAGAGAAGGAGAAACACCAGTCTTGGAAGAACCTCCAGCCAGAATGCATATTTAGAGTTTTAAAGACTAGTTTTGCAATCACTGGTCTAGAGGCATGCAGTATTTGGATTGGAATTTGGCAAAAATGCTTTCTGTCTTACATGACATAACAATAGTGGCTGTTTTCACACCGAATTCAATGCACCTGTGACTCTCAGTCCCAACATTAAATTAAGTAAAGATGTTGGATACCAGCATGTTTATATCTAAAAGCGTTTTTTTTGTTTGCTAAAAAGTCTAAAATGTATGTTTGACATCTCTGCTCCTTTCAGAAAATAAATCAGAAATATATCACCAACAAAGAGGATTTCTGTAGTCTTCAAAAAATTGTCCTTCATGAGTTGAGCACCGAAGTGGCCCAAATTCGACACTCTGCTACACAGGCTCTCCTCTGGCTTAAAAGGTCAGTTTTCTGATCTCGTGTGTGTGTGTGTGTGTGTGACTGAGATGACTTTCATGGTGAACCAATAGTGGGGACTTGCCTTTGCTCTATAATCTGTAAATAATGTTTACTTTTTAAGAAAACAGTTGCATTTGGGTCACATTACATCTCAGATCACATGCAAAACAAATAGGATCAAGATATCACTTGTGTTTATAAACACTAAAAATATGTGGTCTTGTGCATCATGATCAGTCTTTGCGTGTAAGTTATAGACTAGCCAGTTATTGGGAATGTTATAAAACAAGAATGTTAAGAAAATATTCTCCATATTACAGAGAAGAGATAGCGAGGAGCTATGAAAATCTTTTCTAATTAAAAGCAGACTACAAATTTTCAGATTCGGCTATAAACTTAAGCCTTGATGTTACCTCACTGTTATATCCAAATGTTCAAGAAGATGATTTGATTTGTAAAGTTTCAATGCCACTTCACTTGTCAGCAGAATTGTGAAGAAATTTTACAGGACAATGTGTTTAGTCTTATCTTATTAAATGTACATAGGTGTCAAAGGTTATTGCTGGTATTTGATAACAACATGCATAAAACAATATATAGACATTGAATATGTATGTTGGACTTGTTAGCAACTTTTCACCATCATAGTGGGCTTTATGCTTAACATTTTCAAAACCAGTGCCTAGATTCTAGAAAGAGCTTTGCTTTTTGCAAACATTCAAGATAGATTTAGAAACATTATAAAAATAAGAAAAAATCCTCAGCCAACTTAATGTGATGAATTTAAAAAGCCAAAATAATAATTTTGTCATTGTTTTCTTATACTCTTGAAATACCTGGAAAAATGTCCTTGCCTTTACAAGAACTGATTTGTGCGAATGGAATGAAATGTTTGTTCTTTAGGATATTTTTTTTTCTAGGAAGGTGTGTTTTCATTTGTTTGAAATTGTATTTGATTTTTAAATATTTGTAATTTAAAAATCAGAACTTGTTTTTAGAAATAGTAGTAATTGATATGTACAGAATTCATAGATGTGGATCCACAGAGCTGAGAGGCATGTTGGGCATCTTCCTGTTGGTATACAAAAAGCTTTGAAACAGCATCTTAAAACTAAGTCACAGAGACTGCAAATCACAGTCCTGCCTTTGTCTTCCTTTGCAAAAATGAATGGAATATTTTTAGAGAAGTAATACTCCTTGTTTGTTATAAACAGAGGCTTAAAATTTTTGAAGGAGTTCTTGACAGAACTAAAGAATGGAGAGAAAAACATCCAGACAGCACTGAGTAAGTATGGAATATTTTGTGAAATTTTACAAATGTGAGAAAGAAAAGCAAATAAACCTGTGCAATCATTACCTTTGTTTAGATTACATATACTTAGTTTAAAAAAAAACAAAGCTTAAAGTGAAAAGGAAACCCAATTTTTGTGTTTGAAAAAATATCGTGGTTAGAAAGATTTTGCATGAATAAGAAACCTCTGTTTCTTTTTTTTTGGCTGCTTCTGATCTGAATTCAGCATCACGCAACTGATTTCCTTTCTTTTTGCAGACAAAGCTTATGGCAAAACATTACGACAGTATCATGGCTGGGTTGTTCGAGGTGTTTTTGCGGTAAGTCCTCACTGCTTTCCCAAAGAGTTACGGTAAGATGATCCACTGCTTTGAAATATTTGATCCTGCCCTGCTGGACAAGCAGGAAATATTTCCTTTGACACATCAGTAGTTGCCCTTTTTTCTCCTGTATTGGTTCTAGTCAAGAAAATATTGATTACCCCAAGTATAGGTCAACCTAATCGAGAGGTCTGATGTTGAATGCAAGGTTTCATGGGAAGAACATCTACGGCTGCATCTTGTCCCATCCTCAGTGCTGGAGGACCAAATCTTTTGGTATCCATGGAGTGTTCTTTGAGCCGGAAACATGCAGTCTTTGGGACAGTGCTTCTCAACCTTTCCAACTGTGAGATGTGTGGACTTCAATTCCCACATTTCTTAAAGCTGACAAAGTTGGTGAACACTGCTTTGGAGGTTAAAGCTTTGATCCAAATAATGATATGTCAGAATAAACTGAATGGATCCTTTTTTTAAAAAAAGATTTAAATTCATATGAATGCATCATTATTTCATTTAAAATCTTTTCTTCTATTTAAAATCACAGCTGAAGGGCTACTTTTAAAAGAAATTGAATGGGCACATGGTCACCCCATCCAAATGCCCCTAAGTGGTCTCCAAGATTAGATCACAATTTAATTGTGACAAATATCTTGTGGTTGTGATTCAGTATCATATAAATGATTTAGATGTGAGGATAGAAGGGGAACTTATCAGATTTGCAGATGACAGCAAGCTGGCAGGATTAGTCAATACTCCGGAAGATAGGCTCAAGGTACAGAAGGATCTCAACAAGGCTGCACGCAGGGCCTTATCTAACAAAATGTTGAGAAAATTAAGGTTCTAAGTTTAGGCAAGAAAAATTAAATGTTCAGGTATAGAACAGGTGGCATCTGGCTCAATAGTGTAAACTACAAGAGGGATCTGGGAGTCCTAGTGGACAATCACTTAAATATGAGCCAGCAGTGTGCTGCAGCTACCAAAAAAGCCAACACAGTCCTAGGCTGCATTAACAGAGGGATGGAATCAAGATCACATGAAGTGTTAATACCACTGGAATACAAGACCACCCTTGGAATACTGCATCCAATTTTGGTCATATAATATAGAAAGTTTTGGTTGCATGATATAGAAAGAGTGCACAGAAGAGCAAAAAGATGATTAGGGGATTGGAGGCAAAAACATAGGAAGAATGGTTTCAGGAATTAGGTATATCTAATGAAGAGAAGGACTAGGAGTGACAGGATAGCAGTGTACCAATATCTAAAGGGCTGCCACAAAGAACAAGGGGTCAACCTATTCTCCAAACTACCTGAAGGCAAAATAAGAAGCAATGAATGGAAATTAATCGAGAGACCCAACCTAGAAGAAAGGAGAAATTTCCTGGCAGTTAGAACAACTTGACTCCAGAAGTTGTGAGTGCTCCAACATTGAAGGTTTTTAAGATGAGATAGGGCAACCATTTGTCTGAAATGATATAGGATCTCCTGCTTGAGCAGGGGGGGGGGGGGTTGGACTGGAAGACCTCCAAGGTCTCTTCCAACTCTGTTATTCTGTTAAATATGAACATAATTTTGTGATAGAAGTAATAGCAGAAGTAGTAGAAATAGGTTTTTACATATTAGTCAAAAGGTTATATCAAACTCACGAATGGTCATGCATATTACAGCCATGGACTTTAAAATTAAAATGTAAGCATTCTGTCTTTTTGATTTTTTGCCTGTAAAGAAAATTGCATCACATGTGGAAGGAGCAATAGCACATCATCTTGCAAACTCCAGGTTGCTCAAGAACTTGCTAGGAATGAAGTTGTTCTTCGAAATAGTGATGCAAAACTGGAATCATTGTTCTAGCTCCCAAATGCTATGCTGTTAGCTATGGCTGTGATATTTCCATTTCACCAGTGAGCCCAGAAATCCCTAGATGTCTGGAGGGTGCTCTGGGTTGGGCTGCCTTTCTTCTGTCCAGAGGTACTTCTGGATTATCAGACTGACAGCTTTCTTGCTGTTTTTTATGAAAGATGATGATGAATACAATTGTAATGGACCTTCTGATGCTGGGGAGAATGAAGATTCAGGGAACCTAGAAATACATTTGGCTTTGGCTTGTGCATTTTAAGAAGCATCGCAAGAGAATCAATGAGTCCAATGCATGCTTTAAAACAGCGGTTCTCAACCTATGGGTCACAACCCCATTTGGGGTCGATCGACCATTTCACGGGGGTCGCCAAGCAAGGCTGTCCGCCATTTTTTTCCCCTTTTCCGGCGGGTGCCTTACCTCCCTTGAGCTGGGCCAGCTGGTGGTCGGCCTGCTCCGTCTCTGCCGCTTGCCAGCTACGCCTCGGCCGGCGCAGGGGGCGGAACCACGCATGTGCGGCGCTCCCGGGCAGGGAAAGTCCTCGACTTACGACCGGTTGGGTAGTCCTCAACTTACGACCGGTTTAGTCCTTGACTTACGACCGGTTTAGTCCTCGACTTACGACCGGTTGGGGGTCGCAGCATTAAAAAGGTTGAGAACCACTGCTTTAAAATGTTACCTTGTTAGGTAAACCACTGTGCTGCCATTGTAGAGACCTCTCTCTGTGTTGAAAAGCTGGTGTCAGAAGAAAAACAATATAAGACTCCAGCAAAAGCTAAAACCTAGAACCTGAAAAGCAATGTTGGAAGAAAGAGATAGCCTCAATCTTTTATCCTTACAAAATAATTGTTCAGTTTGGATAGGTAATAGATTGCTATATACACACTCTTTCCTGTGTATTTAATAATTGCATCCATCTGTTACTTTAAACAGTATCATTTGGTAACAGGCTTTAGAAGGCATTCCAGATGCTCAAGCCAATTGAAAGCATGTGGGTCTATGTGTGGCCCTGGGAGTGTTGACTTCTATATAGATCTGATACCACTCTTAAGTAATTTACCTTAGTTATATAGACCTAAAGTAATTTTTCTTTCTATTTATCGTTATCATCCAGTGCAAATGATAAAGTATAAATTAGAAGAGACCATGCTTGACTTCCTTTTTCCCCTTTTTCCTTGCAGCTAGCTCTAAGAGCATCTCCCACCTATGAAGGCTTTATGGCTGCATTGTCGCTTGCAGAATGTGAAAATCAAGAAGAAGCTTTTTATCATGGAATGCAGCGGGACCTTAATGTTTACCTACCAGCTATGGAAAAGCAGCTCAAAATCTTGGATGCACTGTATGAAGAACATGGACTGGAGTCAGATGAAGTGGTCTGATCTCAGCACAAACAGTGCTTTGCATATTCAGGGATTCTGTCCATCAGTGTACTACATTGTTCTTTTCCTCAGAAAGCTGTATCTGTATTTGTTTTTTTTCCATACATGGGAAAAAAATTCCATGCTTCTTCTTTTTTTTTAATATACAGTTTTAAAAAATACTTGTTTTGTGTTTTAAATGCAAAGTTGCTATATAATCTAGCTGGGTTCTGCCTATCTTTATGGCAAGGTCCTTAGAGTAGATCTGTTGCTTATTTGCTGAATACAAGGCCAAATATGGCAGTGGCTCTAATTTAGTACCATTTGGTTGGACTAATTAGAGCTTGCTGAAGCATTTATTCCAACACAGTGATGAGCAGAATATAGACCTACAACTGTAAAACTTATCCAGGATATCCAAGCTACACATCCCATACAAAATTACCATTTTGTAAAGGATTTATATCATAAGTACATGTGTTGCTCTCCCCTCCTTTGCTGAGTTCATCATTGAATTTTGAAACAATTGGCTGTTGTTGTTCGTCCATCGATTTCGATAAAGACCTTGACATCTTATGGATTATGGGCCATCAGCTGTGTGTCCATAGATGGCTGATGAGAAGGAGTTGTAGCAATGAACCAACTACATTCTATTTACAGGGATGATACATCAGCTCTTAATAGCATTTACTTCTTCTGTCTTGAAATGGTGTTTTAATACTATCCCAGAAACACCAAAAAAAAGGAGAGGGTTCTGAATCTCTGCCCTGTGTCATCATTGGGTCTAGTCCTTTCCAGTGCTAATAACCAAATGCCCATGGATTCTAGGATTGGAAGTATATACCTAACTTCATATAGTTCAGAAGTGCTTTAAATCTCAGACTGATATGCTTTGGATTGAGCAGAACTTTATCACTGCAATTCCTACAGTTTTCATATTAGAAGCCTACATTTTATGGTGTGTCTAGCACAATCAAATCTGGCTAAATTTAGAACAGAATGAGATTAAGGGGTTGATAATCAGTCCATAATAGTGGGAAATCTTTAACATTCTGTATAGGTTGGGCCTCTATATGAATATGCCAAAAGCAAACTTGGAATGTTCTGGCATTTTTAGGATGTAAATTATTAGAAGCTATTAATTAGAAATTTCAAAGAAAACTTCAGAAGTTCTAGGATTAGAAAACTAAAGTTGGTATCTGGATGTAGCTATCTGATTATCTACTGGGGTAAAAAATTGCTAGCCTATAAAATTCTGGGATATTCTATAATTACCGGTAATTAGGCACAAATGCTAGCATTTATAATTAACTGCATTCAAGTCAATAGAATTATTGTAGAAAATTGTATTTTGCCATCTTAATCAATTGCAATGATTGGAAAACTCAGGAAACCCAGAAACTTATTGTATTATTTCTCTTTTTAAACATTGATATTGTTTTATATTCAATATACAAAGTAGTGTGCTTGGAATTCATTATGAAAACACTTAGCCGATGGCATTATTGTGTTATTTTGTGAACAATTGATACATGAAATCTGTTTTTTTCTGTCACACATTTATATACCCATGCTCTTTTAGAAATAGTTTCTTTTTGAAGTCATAAGGCCATGTTAAAAAAGGAAAACAGATTTTTCTGTATTGAATGTACAATACTGAAATTAGAATTTTAAGGCACTTTATAAATACTTTTGTTAATATTCTAACTTGGAGAGGTTTTCTGCCTGTAAATATTAATTCCTTAAAAATAATTCTTTTGTTTCAGGAGAAAAAGACAAAACCATGAAATTATTTTGCAACCTTTGTATTATAGACAATTAGCAGCATTTCAAGCTGAGGCATAGGAATATCTTTTCTTTTTCTCACCAAGTGAAATCCAAAGGGAAGAATTATTGTGTTTATTTCACTACTTGCAACCGAACTAAGTATGGAAATTAATAGTGTAACTGGATGGAGCTTCAAGATGGAGAAAAAGGACTGATATCAAGTCCTTAACTTTCAGTGGCCAGAATAGGTATCTGAAGATAGCTTTCTTTATCTCCCCTTCCAGCTGGTTTCTCCCCCCCTCCCTCCCCCTCCCCCCGCACTGGGGCATAAGAAGGAATTAATTACACCAGCTTGGGGATTGTCTTAGGTAAGCACTTTGGAGAGGGAGGGATTTCATCAGATTTTCAGCACACCTCCAGTGTCCCACATATGCTGTTCCTGTAAGAGCACCACTAATAGGAGATCTACAACTTTTCTGCAGACACCTTGGGGCAAAACTGGTTTGTGGAAATCCATCAGCATAAGTGCCATCCTACCAGTGGGGCTTTCTCTCTTCTATTAGAATGGCCTCTGGACTACCTTGAGGCTTTCTCATTTAAGACAACACCAATGCATATCTATGCAGAATTTAGAGTAAACATGACCTGATCAGGCAATGTGTTGTCCTATACATGCTTAACTCCTTTTGTAGCTTACCCATCATGCCAATCTTGTTTGACAGGTTGGTAGTGATGACAGTGAATGTAATTACAGCTGCAAACTATGCACACTTCTACTTGTTGACTAAAGTCATCCTGCAGTTCTTCTAGTTGTGTATCATGTTTTGTTGTTGTTTTGTATAAGCCATTATAGTTTCTTACCTAAGTCATTCTTTCACTGTCATATTCTCTTAATTAGCTGATTTTCTTAATTTGATGAAGGGTCATGTAATTTATGATGGAAACCTTGCTTTTCCAGGGAATGCAAAATGTTGGCAGTTACCCCACAAAACTATGCATGATGGGAAGTTATATTTTCATATGCCATTTCAAGACATTTTTTTGTCAAACCAAATTAAGTGATAGTAATGTCCAGTTGATATGTTGCACACTATATTATGTGGGTTGCAATGAAAAATGTCTTTGTTCTTTGTTTCTGGAAAAAAAATAGCTTTCTATTCAGCATTGGAAAAATAAGAATGTCGTTTTCTAGCAAATAGCAAAGGAATTTTGCATAGAAAGCTAAGTGAATTTGTAATACCTCTAAACATGGATGTGATTTGCTTTACTTGGATGAAATGAAAGTTAGCCCTGATTAGTTTAAATCAGTTAATTCTTTGTGAATTGCATATTCTCAGGGAAATGAGCAGCAAAAAAAGTCTATTTTAAAGTGAAGCTCTTTATTCATGTAAACACGCTGTATATAATTGTCATATCTCTAGTCATATTATAAATTGGGACTTGGGTAACATATGAGAAACCAATTAGGAATAGTACTTAATAAACTTCAATTGACTTGTATGATTTGCATACTCTAAATCTCTATCAAGCAACACATAACAAAATTGTTAGAATTTGTTCATCTCACCCTCAGTAAGTTGAATGTATTATAATTTGATAATTTGTAATTTTTTTGTTTTAAAATATACATTGAAAGCAAAATTGCCATACTCTGATACATGTTTCAGATTCAAGATAACAGTGTATCATAGAAAGATGTTATGAAACATTACATTATAACAAAAAAGCAAATAGACTATCATAAGAATTATAAGTAATGCACAGAATTCTGCCATGCTATTTATAAAAAAAATAAAATTTGTTTTATTTTCTTTATTTTTTCTTTATTTTTATTTTTGTTCAACATGGTCCATGCCTTGAAAATGGACAATGTTTCTTTTAGTTACTGGACTTTGAAGTGCAATCCAAAGATGATGATTTCGCCTGTTATTGGAAATGACAGTACATAGAATGCAATCTCATTAACCTGAATAATAAACTTTCAGTTTTATTGTCTCTAGTTTCCTGTAATCCAGCAATGATTTCTAGCTGCTCTATAGTGGGTAGAAATCTAGCTTCATTAAAATGAAACCTGCTTTTAGGAACATTCCATGTGTTTAAAATTCTGGATTATCTGTTGGAATCAATTTACATTATTTGCATTTTGTTCCTGCAGTTCAACTTATAGCTGCAGGCAATATAAAAACTGAAAGTGGCCAATCTCAGTCTTTATATGGGACCTAACTACGTTTTGGAATTGAAATCCTATAAGTGCCACTCTACTGAACATAGAGTTAATTCTGAATGGACACTGATAGGATTATCTTTAATAAGGGTTGAATTTGTGCCTAAAAATAGGAATTTCCATTCTTGCTTTGATAGTATCCATCTAAGATTTGGCTCACAGATGGTGTAGTGGTATGTCAGAAGGACCTTGGGAAATTCGACAAAGAGACACCACCAAAGGAACAGTCAAGTAAGAGACATCATATCTGCCATTGGATAGTGGGCAAGGCAAGAGGCTCAGAAAAGAACACCCTTGGTTTCTTAAGCTGTAAAGCATGGGAAGATTGTATTTCAAGATCTGTAAAATTGATGTTGGCCTTGTGGGGTAAACCAGATAGGAATCACAACCAGGAGTTAATTCTACTTTTTTGCAAAGCTACATTGACAGAATCTTTAAAACAGTTCCTCCTTCCTCTCCCTGTTTCTTTGCAGCCAAAGAAACTAGGGAGGATCTTGAGCTTCTTGCCTTGTCAAATGTGGGCTATGCCAGAAGTCTCCAACCTATGGGCCGTGGCCCACTACCAGGCTGTGGCTTCTTGGTTGCCGGGTTGCATGAGTAGCTGGGCAGTGAACCTGTGTATGCGCATGCTCACCCCCCCCTCATGCCACCATTGATGTGAGTGTTGTGCAGGCTGTGGCAGCACCACTAGTATCACGCAGGCAGCGTTTCCACAAACCTTGCATGGGGGGCACTGCAACACACACAGGTGGTGGCATTGCCATGAAGCTTTCATGGGCGGCGGCAGGTGGGCTCCAATGTGAGCCTCACTCGGCGATAGCACGAGCTTGCACCAGAGTGGCATCACTGTGGGCCATGGCATGATTGCATGAGGATGGCAGTGCGAGCCTTGCACCAGGGCAGCATTGCTGCGGGCCACGGCACGATCCTCCTGTTGGTGGTAGCATCACTGCGAGTCTGCCAGCGCTACAAGCCTCACAGGCGCTGCCGTCACAGAGCCTCATGCGCATGCTCGCAGCCCCATTTGTGTGGTGCGCATGCTTGCAGCGTATTTGTACACGTGCGTGCATGTGTGGCCACATTCACATTTGCGCATGTGTGCATAAGGCACCCGCCTATCCTTC